ACCCACCCACCCTCTCCCCTGCCCCCATCCCCTCCTTCATCCCAATCTCAATCTGTGAAACGGTGTAATAATATCGTAAAGAACAAGTAACACGGAGTAGCATCATCAATGAAAATCGGCAATAGTGGGAAAGAAAAAAATAAAAAGATAATGATAAAGACGTATTAGTAACATGGGACGACACTAAAAAATTTCCGATTTCAAATCTCATTAGCACAAATGTTTTTAGCTGCGGTGAGGGAATATTTACGGGTGATAAGTGGAAAAGCCGGCGTTAAGGACATTGTAATTGTATCGCTTAACGAGCGTAAGGACACGTTCGAATTACACAATGGGCGGATCGTCGTTAGGCTCATTTCGATATGAGCGAACTCGTGCGTAAAGGATTTGGGCGAAGAAGGAGGCGGCGAGTGCCTTAAGTGGCCGATGCTAATCCTCGACGAGCGACACACCAAACGCTTAATCCCAATGGCGGCTCGGTACATTATCGATCGGGCGTAATGCTTGGCGATCGATATGAAGGCCGAGGAGGCGAAGCCCGCGAATGAAATATTAAAATTCGGCGCAAAGCAGGCGAGCAAGAATTCTGGTTACTTGGCTCCATTAAAAATAATTACACAGAAAAGCCACTCGACGCCATTCAAGCCGCGGTGGGCGCAGGCAGACGCACGCGCGCCCGTATATCCTTCGAGTGAATGGGTGCCGCGGCCGCTCTCCTTCTCCCATTTACACACACGCACGCACGCACGCACGCACGCACGCACACCCCAATAACCCTTTTACGCGAGGCGAACGAGTCGGTCTCTGAGCGCCCGGCCGAGAGAGCGAGGGGAGGAGAAAGAGGAGATAGCGGTGGTGGTGGTGGTGGTGGAGGAGGAGGAGGATCGAGGCGCAGGGTAGAATGGAAAACCAGTCCAGTTCCCAGGACTACGCGCCAGGCAGGAAGTGCGTAATAGCCGTGAGAGGCAAACAGGTTTTCGGAGAGCCGAGCGGAACTCGCGGAAAGATGAATGGACCAAGCGGCAGGAAGGGGGACGAAGGAGGAAAGCGATGCGCTCTTTGATCGTCGATCCTGCGCTTAGACGAGCGTCGTGATTAT